GGGGTTCAGGTAGCGGCTGTCCTCAGCATACATAGTAGTTACCGTACAGCTGGAGGTCTCTGCAGTCTCCGTCTGGTGAGAATGTGACTGATTGAGGATACAGAGGTTTCAAGTTATAAGAGCCTCCATCACAGTACATGTAATGGCTTCTGCACAAGCATGGTTAGAGGAATAGGGGAACACATTGTGGGTAATAACATCCAATGAAGAGGAAAATAAGTAAAAACAACAACAACTTGTGTCACACCATTCTTAGTCTCACATTTTCATGTGACATAGCAGAGTATAGGTCTATTCTTTTGGAAGGTAATGCCAGCATTTGACGCAGTGTAATGTAGGCAACGGGACAGCATATACATTCAGATTGGTATACTGTAGACGGCCTTAGTAAGTATTTGTAGTCCAGATATTCACAAAAATTCAATCTTAGAATTAATCGGCTATGGATAGTTAAAGGGGCCCTATTATGCTTTTTGGGGTCTTCTCTTTCCTGTAGTGTGTTATAGGTGTTTGTGCATGTAAAAGGTCTGCAAAGGCTAAAATCCAGAGGGACTAACCCTGATTATCAAACAAATAATAATTGAGCGTAAAACAAGTCTTAAAGCCTAACCCCAAATATGTACCCTTTTCCGGACTGAGGCTTACTGTATCATCATCAACTTGTTAGCTGGTTGTTTAAAAACATTTGATTTCTATTAGATTTATAAAACTGAAATAAGCGCAACACACTAACCAATAAGTCTTTTCCAAAGTGACCCATTTGATCCCAGTACTATGACTCATTACAACAACTTTCTCCAGTGTCAAAGCTTTTTGATATACCTTGAACAGTAGTTTGATTAGAGAACAGAAGAGGACCAGTATGAGTTTAAAGCTTCAGGGAAAGTAAGTAAGATATATAGGTCAAACTACAGAGAGGGTTAGGGTTAGATGATAGGATTGGAGTATCTCTGATGTCACTTACTTTGTATGCCAAGACATCCAGCCAATGGTATGCATATAGGATTAGATTTGTATCCCCATTTTTCATCTCAAAAACACAATTACCATGCACATAATATTCGTTGTATCTCTCGCCCTTCTGTTTCCTCCTTTAAATATTGTTTTTCAGAGGAGCTGGCGGATCAATCTTTTCATATTTGCATACTGTTATGCATTGAAAGAATATATTCAACTTTTAATGATCACTATAATTTGGTATGAGAATTACAATTCTTGTGTAACAGTTGTAAATATGCAGTGGTCTTTAGTGTTAAATATTTATTTGTAAATCATTTAGTATAATCACACAAATTCTGTGTTTTGTATTTAATAATTCTGTATTCTTCATTTATTAAACGTTCAATACCTGACTAGGTCTGAAATCAGTGGGCGGAACCTCCAAAATTCAGTCACTGTACTCAGAAGATATTTTTGTGGGGACTTCTCTTCACTTTTTGTGAATGTTTTTCACGTGAGAAGAGGCAGTGTGGGGGAAAACCAATTTAAGACTGATTTGTTGTATCAGTGTCAGTCAGAGAATAAACGGTGATCAGCTTAACTGCTGGCTCGGGTCTCATCCATCAACGAAACAAAACACAACGCAGACACCGCTAATCGACACCGGTTACACTTGCATAACTTGGATATTTACTGTAGGGTTAGGTTTTTCATCAGCTGATTTGATAATAGTTGGACTTTAATTTGTTGACCTTTGATTGCCTTGTGTCAATTTAATGTCAATGCAATGTAAAAATCAATATGTTTGGAATACGTTCATTTAAGCATCCACAGACCAATGACTGTCCTGCACTTTGAAAGGATCATTCTCGTCCAAAGGGACCATTTCTCTCATCTGTTCCTTTTTGCTCCCACCATACTCTGTAGTGTGAGAAGGGTTGAACTGCCTGCAAAATGGCATTACTGCAAACCTTGTGTTTCTAACCCAGGTTACAGATGTTTATCCTCTGCAGGGTTCAGATCAATCAGACTTATCAGTGACGTCACGGCACTCTGAGCTGACGCTGATGGAGGTGGTGTGATCACACACTGTAGCCCGGGAATTAAGTGGCTGTGTGTGGGAGTGTGGTTGCTTGGAGGAATGTGTGTGTGTGTGTGTGTGTGTGTGTGTGTGTGTGTGTGTGTGTGTGTGTGTGTGTGTGTGTGTGTGTGTGTGTGTGTGTGTGTGTGTGTGTGTGTGTGTGTGTGTGTGTGTGTGTGTGTGTGTGTGTGTGTGTGTGTGTGTGTGTGTGTGTGTGTGTGTGTGTGTGTGTGTGTGTGTGTGTGTGTGTATCTCGTATCATCATCCTGCTCTTTACTCGCAGCAGATAACCTCTGATTTGTATGTGGGGGTTAATCCAGGGATGAAGAGGGAGCGTTCCTCAACTAGCTGCATCTGCGACCTCTCAGTGTTTGGGGATTTGTCTGTCCAACAGTTACAAACACAATGAGACAACTGTCCCTTTCACTCCTGACCCGCAAAGCTCCGTTCCCCCCCAGGATCACAGCACACCGATCAGCAAACCCCATTCACTCAACTGCTGGATCACAACATAAAGGGGATCAATTATTTTGAATTAATGAATCCCTTTCATTGGATTTGACGGAAATCCCCTGGAGAACTTTCATTTTATTTTCAGTAGATTAGTGTGTCTTACCGACAATTTGGCAACTAACAAGTGATGCAACTGTGTGTGATATATTTGTGTTTTTCACTGCACTTGCTTACATGATATGCAATGTTCTGAAACCAAATAGGCAATACTTCAAAACTGATTTACCAAACTATTCCTACACAATTCCTATTTAGCCATCTTTAGGGTGAATTTAGCCAGCCGTGTGATTTGTATGAGTCGTTTCTGCCAAAATCTAAAGAAAATAGTCTATATACCTAACCACAAACACGCATCTCTTTAAGCAACAAAACGGTTTGACATTGAAAACAGAAGGGTAAACTCTCGCAGCAAAATGTAATGTAGGGGCAAAGGGGTCCTTGGTCATTATAAAAAAAAGTATGTGCTCCATAGCATGTAAATAGAAATATTAATGGAAAAAAAGTTATTTCAATTTGCAACAAGTTTAATACTCCATTCAAATTGAGTAAATTCAAATGTTTTTGCCGATTAATTCCAGCATAATATGCATTTTCTAGTTTGGCTGTGTACAACTTGTGTCACTCCAGAAAGACACTACAAATTGTAAACCTTAACCTTGATGTGGAANCACAAACACGCATCTCTTTAAGCAACAAAACGGTTTGACATTGAAAACAGAAGGGTAAACTCTCGCAGCAAAATGTAATGTAGGGGCAAGGGGGTCCTTGGTCATTATTAAAAAAAATGTGCTCCATAGCATGTAAATAGAAATATTAATGGAAAAAAAAGAATTGCGTTAAATTGAGTTATTTCAATTTGCAACAAGTTTAACACTCCATTCAAATTGAGTACATTCAAATGTTTTTGCCTATTAATTCCAGCATAATATGCATTTTCTAGTTTGGCTGTGTACAACTTGTGTCACTCCAGAAAGACACTACAAATTGTAAACCTTAACCTTGATGTGGAATTACATTAAATATCCTTTTCTTTCACTTCTCTGTTGTGTTTCACTGCCTTGTATACTGTTTGTATAGGTTTACATTTTCATTCTTCAGTATTTGTTCTTATTTCCCTTTTCCCAATGTATCTTGCTGAATGTCACAATTCCCCTGAGTTGATTGGAGGTTATTGAGATCACCTGTTGCACAGGGTGTGGAGACTGGCTTATAATTAGACATTTGGAGCAGCTTGGTGCCATTCCCCTATTGGCCAATCAGAGTGTGACGTAGGGCTGCTCGATTATGGCAAGAATCATAATTATTTGGGTCAATAATTGATATCACGATTATTAGAAACGACTATCCATTTACTTTGAAAACATCAATTTATTGGAGAAAATGTGAACAGTATGTTTTTAACAGTTGATTACCCTGAACTTTAAGTATAATTCAACTGAAAAACAAATTAAAAAAAGTAATAATAATAATAAAAAAATAATCGTTTTATTTTGATCACGTTGTTTTCATAATCGTTGCAAGCCATCATCGTAATTGCGATTAAAATACGATTAATTGAGCAGCCCTAGTGTGACGACACCTTTCTTTGGGGTTTAAGAGAGGTAGAAAAAATTGGAACCCCAGATTTCTGTCAGATATTGTCCCCTAGACAATTCAGATTTTGAGACAGGTTAGGGACTCCTTTACTTTCTTAAATTTGTTTGATGCTGATTTTGAGGATTATCGAGCCAAATTGAGGTTAAAAACAGTTTGAAGACAGATGTCTTAATTGGTGTTATCCATTTTGAAGGCACTTAATTCAGAGATGTTTCCCAGTCTATTCTTTCATTTTATTGAAAATAATCTGAGGAATCTGTATTGCCACAAAGTTGAACACATCATATAAAATCTGGCGCCACGGTCTCCAGCTCCCAGGTGGGCTGTATTTATTCTTTGAAACCATAATCCCTTCCTTCAGATGATAATGATGGAGGTTTTAAATGAATTTCAACATGTCTCTCTTAACATAACACCTTAACACTATTATATGCAGCTATGATCTAATAGGCCTTGTTGACGAAGAAGAAAAGTCATACTTAATTTCAAACAGCCTTAATGTCTCCTAGGTTACAAAGAAAACAAAGGAGCAGACCTTGAAGGCCCACACAGACATTTACACAACATCACACACACATCACAACATTTGGCCTCATATCTTGAAAATGTAAAAAGTGTTGGTTTGAATCTGTACTGATGTCTTTCATCACCTTCATTTTTTTTTTCAAAAGCACCTTCTCAATAAATGTGTTTTGACTGGAAGTGGGTCAGAAGTGCTTTGTTCATCTTCAGCCTCTTGTGTTGTCTGACACTCACTATCAGCACATGACAGCCTGATTGATAGAACATGCTCTGCAGATTAGAGCTGAATTGTTTGGATACAGTGCGCCTGATGGAGCACTTACGCGAGGCTCCACTTGTGTTTTCCTAGGTGTCTGCTGACAAGTCAGGGATTGGAGCGGCGCGCTGAGGGACGCCGTGTTGGGCAAGGCTGGCTGGAGAAACAACATGGCTGTATCATCAAAGACAACAAGGCAAGGTTAAAAAAAGATGATGTTTTTTTCTTAGGCTCTTTGATTTATTTGATGTTATTCAGATAGACTGGAAACCGGAGTGTTTCCACTGAATATACTTTTACGCTTTGCTTGTTTTAACAATAAGTGTTTAATTGTGTTTATACATGAATTAGTCTGTCTTGTTATACTGCCACCTTCTAACCTTCTCACTTTGGAGTATACTGTGTTTTCTATGTTGTAATTTCACGAATGCCAATGGGAAATGATTCCTTCTCTGTTGTCCTACTTGATGTTTCTCTCCTTTGTCATTGACATTTATTTTAGATTTATTTGACATTCCGAAATAAGGCAACCAAATCAACCACACACAACTAAAAAGAGCAAATCGTTAGGACCGACCCTCTTGGAAGAACAAGTTGTGAACGGTTGGTTGCATAAATGGTTCAAGGTTCAAGGTTCAAGGTTCATGGTTCAAGGTTATTTACTGTCAAACTAACATAACTACAGAGTAATTATGTCGTTGAAAATCTTAGTTCAGAGGCTTCTCAAACAATTCAACACAATAATACAGATAAGCAGACAATATTAAAACAATATTAAAATATATTATATTAAAAGTAATACAAAAAAGAAAAATAGTTTTAAAAAAAGTGGAATAGTGCAATACGAGTCTATATACAAGTTATTGGAATGATATATTAGATAATAGATAAATAATTACTAAGTAGCAGATGAATGTTATGAAATTGTTTCAGCAGTTCAGTTGTTTTTAATACCTTCATGTATTCAACGAACACGTTTATTCGACGTCCCGTTACGCCGAAACTTTATTTATAGTAACGACATATACATATATATGTCGAGACCTTTTTAATCTTTGGTGAGGTTTAAACATAATTTGGAGTAGAGATGTGACATGCGTCGGTAAGGTAAGGTCACCAGA